TCGATATCGCAAAATATGTTCAGATCACTTTCCCTTTTCAACTGATGTTTTCCCCATTTTTAATTTAAAAAAAAATTCTATCCTTTTCAGTGTTCTTTTTGTTTGATCGACTTCTTTTATTACAAAAGACCGTTTACAGAAATACAACTTCGATTGCAACGCTTTTTGATACAGAACCTTCTCGGTTTTCGCAACAGGGGCCAAAATAAACAAACTCTTCCCAGTTCCAACTCCTCAGCATGCTACGTTAAGTTGGCCATGAAAAAGGCAAGGGCTCTCTAGATTAATGCCAACCACCTTAAGTAATTACTCTTGAGCCTTGTCGATAGACATCGCGAAGGAAAGACATGCAGCAAATTGAAGACGCTTGAATTCAAACGGTATATCTGTAAGAACCATGAATATTCATGGTACGAATACATGCTCACTCTTTGGGCAGCCTGTCAACATTATTTTTCTTATCGTACATTAGAGATAGAGATTAGAGAATTTCCAATTTTCACAACCTGGGTGACATTACATTCGATTACCTTCCTTTCCTTGCCTGTCGCGCCAATCTACTCTCAATTTTTCTCTCCACTAAAGAGTATATCATGGAAATTTTGATGGCGCTAGTTATTACGGAAATCAAATGTACAAACAGCAGACAGACAAACATTGTTATTTATAAAAACAGAAGAAGACACTCGCTTCCATACCCTATACCCTCATTCAGTGCTTAGATCCTTGAATCGAACTCATTGCCTCTAAAGTCCCTACCTGACTTTTCTCCTAACGACCAAAGATTGATTAGCTAGGTTTCTTAGTAGCCCAATTCCTATTGGTTTCCAAACAACTCATTAGATTTCAAGGCAAATAGACCTCACATTGGAACTCACCATTTCGAAAACCCCCCTGATCCATCAATTCCTTCAAAGTATAAGTGTTCTGGTCTGTTTTCTTAAGTACTGAAGTCCTATTAGTTTCCAAACAACCACTCAGGTTTCGAGGCAAATGGACCTCAGAGTTGAGCTCACAATCTCTACATCCCCGTGCCCCATCATTTTCTTGGAGGTATAAGAGTTTTGGCCCGTTTTCTCAAGAGCTAAATTCCTATTGGTTTTCGGCCAACCAATCAGATTTAGAGCCAAATGGACCCCAGATTCGAACTCACGGTCCTCGAAAACCCTGCGCCTCATGATTTCCTTCCAAGTATGAAAATTTGGGTCTGTTTTCCTAAGAGCTGAATTCCTATTGGTTTCCAAACAACCAATCAGATTTCGAGGCGAATGGGCTTCAGATTCGAACTCATCGCCTCAAAAAACCCTGTGCCCCATCATTTCCTTCAAAGTATATGTGTTTGGCTCTATTTTTTTAAGAGCTGAATTCCTATTGGTTTCCAAACAACCAATTAGATTTGGAGGGAAATCTATCCCAGATTCGAACTCAGCGCCCTCGAAAACCTCTAGTTCCATGTTTCCTGTGTGTTCATGAAGTGCAACTCAGTTATAGTTCTATAGTACCGAATGTTGCAACCCTATTGGTCGGTTTCATAGATCGCCTGTAGCATGTGTAGGATTCATTTTTTTTCGGAAAAAAATACATGTCGACCTTCTCCTAGGTGTAAAGACCATTTCTGGAAAGTTTCATAGCATTTGCTCGTACCGTGTCCAAATGCATGAAGAACAAACAAACAAAGAAACAAACAGACAGACAAACATTCTTCTTTATATATATAGATGACATAGACCTATAGGAGATGCTTATTAATACTATAGATTTATTTCAATTAAATCAAACTTCTCAAATATCTCTTATACATATGGAAATGATCAGTCTGACCGGCTACCTTGCTTTGTTTTGTTTCACATAAACTTCAGTCTTATTTTAGAACAAGTACAGTCAACATTTGATTTATATATGTCGTATCGAAGTTACTTCAAATGAACTCAATACTAAATAAATATCAATTAATTGATGATATTAAAACATTATATATAAAATTATAATGAATTTCTTTTGTTTTTGAAAATATTAATATCATTTTTGTATGAATAAACATAGACAATCAAAAACATCACTATATGTTTATGCAGTCAATATATGTAATATGTTACAAAAGATAGATACAAATGTTTGAAATATAAACAAGAAATCTAAACTTACTGTTTTATCTATTATCAGTTTTCTTATAATGTTCATCTGATATGTTGTTCTTTGAGATTAGTTTTATTGATAGAATTTTTATTTGGAGTCGTATATAATTAGATTATACTAAAGCGTGATATTCAAAAATCTAGTGAAGTCTTTGTTTGACTCAATGTGAATCTATCTTTCGTTAACGTTTTAACTTGTCTTCGTGTGTAATTACTCATGTAAAATATTAACAAAGTTTATTCATAAAAAATGATATATTTTCAAACATGAAAAACTCACGATAATTTTATATGTCGTAGTAATTTTGATACGACATATACATATATCTTGGTGAAAATCAGAAATATCGAAGGTCTTCTCGAAATTTTGGTATCTAAGATATAGTCATCTGGAACAAAGAAATTGCTTGCAACTGCACTAACAGTGAAAGGTAACACTTTGATAGTAGATCTTAACTGTAACGACCATTTGGGAGAATTTTTGGAAAAATAATGAGTTCCCTATATTACATGTCGCATCTTTATTTTCAATCTTTCAGAGATTTAAGACTTGTTCGAAGTTTAGTTCTGATCTAGCTGGATAAAGAATTTTATTCTCAAGAACACTGTCGACTTTGTTTTTCGAAGTCTTTTTATGCAGGCATAAACTTTATAAAAAAACTTACTGAGTTGTCAGACTGTGAATTTCTTAAAACATTTACAACACTTTGAACGAAATGAAAATAATATCTTAGGTTTGTTTGTAACTAGCTTTTTTCGGTATCGTGACATTTTCTACTTCAAAATTTCTTGTCCAATATATCTGTTTCATTAACACTTTAAATAGCACATAAAAAATTACAGTTTTTGTGCAGAATGCCGTAGCATATGTCGAATTTCAGGAAATTCGTTTCTAAAAATTCTCTACAATTTTTTATTTGCTTTATTGATTTTCGCACTTGTACGACGAAGTAGATGTTGACCACGTTAACCTTGCTCTCACGCAAAAAAAAATATTCGAAAGATGGAGTCGATAATTTTTTAGAAGACCAAACTCTCTTTTTAGTGGCATAGAAACTAAAATTTAAAATATTTGTTAAATGCTTCAAAGATAAACATAACATGGCACCATTTATTATATAGGGTATCTATTACGTCTTCTTCTCAGCGAACAGTATTACAATCTTTCAAAAGAGTCTTGTTTTGAATTCAATTGTAAGGAAAATTTTTCATTTTAGCAGTAGATGTTACACCTCTAACACTTTCCTTGGATGAACTTACTGTTCCCTTTTTCCTTTAAAAAGTGAAAAATGGTTTAGAATTTTACAGTCGAAAAACAAAAACCTTGCCTTGAATACAAAACAGAAAATGTCAGGCTTAGAAAATGGAGATTAGTCCATCTAATTTTTTGTATTAGTACTATAGCAAACAAAAGATGGTGCCTACCATTTTCTAGAAGACCATTCCTTTTTAATGAAAGCAAAAGTAAAACTAAATATCAAATCATCAGACTATCTACTTTTCGGAAAAAAAGATCTTCATTATTAGTATTATTAAATACTTTGTTACTATTAAAGTCACTTTAAGTTTTTTTTATTCGTTCTGTAGAAATTTTTCAAAGATTGTTTCCTGATTCTGTAAGAAAAATTGATCGGGAAAAACAATTTCTGATGTTGTTCAAATACTACATCAATATATAATATTTTTAACCCTAATGATCTTTATGAAATGGTGTCTCGCTGAATCGTAAAAGAATCATGTCTTTTCAGCTAAAACGGGACGGTACTTTTTTTAATGACATTGTCTAAGTTTACTAGAATCCAATCGAAGGAGAATAACAGTGAGATTTGGATAAAACATATTTAAATACGAAGGGTGTGAGTGTCGGTGCCGGTGTTAAAGAAAAACAGAAGATACCTACATGCAACACCCACACCTACTCATACTCTTACGATATTGTTTTGAATTTTCCTCTCTTTAAATGATGCTAAATAGTGGATTTTTTTATATTCAACGAGTTTGAGATCATTACAGATATTCCTAAAATGGGTGGACAAGAAAGAAAAAATCTTTCACTAATTTGAATTCACCTGAGATAAAAAATTAGAACACAGCTAGCTCATTTTACTGTATTCTTTCATGTACAATTATTTTTATAGTGATTAATATAATTACTATTATCTAAGAAAGTATAGATTCGGCATGAACTTGTCTGGCTATTTTCAACGAACTAACTCAAAAAGTAAAGAACAAAAATTATCAGTTTTTACTTCGTGTTTTGAGACTCTGTGGCGATTTCATGACACTAAAATAGAGAGAAATACAATGCAGGTATACAGGATGGCAGTAGTTACTTGTATATATTTTGCAGTGGTGATTCAAGTGAAGGCAAGTCATTCTTAAAAAACAAACTTTCATGGTCTGAGTATTTACAGAGATTACTGTGGAAAGAAATATCAAACCTGTAGCAGATTGTTGGACATCAATTGATTCACAATATTCGGCACTATTTGAAAGGTTTTGGTTAACATCGGTGGATTTTGTTGTAATACTGTGTTCTCCTAGATAGTAGTCGACAATAAACTGATAAACTGTACCAAGAATAAAAAATCATTGATAACTTACTGTTGGATCTGTTGTCTTCATTCTATTGGTTTTGTTAATTTTTATGTGGTTTGTTGTCTTGCTGCTAACATTCCAAACTAAATCAATCATAAAGATATGATCTGATAGGTGAGAATTACAGAAGATCGAATGACGACAAAAAATGTTACTGAAACTTTCATAATATGAATATACAACTTTGAATAGAAATATGGTTGAAAATGTGTGGAAGCTTGAATATACTAATGTCTTACTTGACTCTGGGCGTAAATTTTTTTTTTATTAATATAAATAATACTCACAATCTGTTTCTTGATAAGTTGTGTTTTCCTCAAGGTGAATCTGTTCTTGGTCTGAACATTCCATTTTTTGTACATTGTTTTTCGTTGAAATTTTCTCAACCCAATTAAAACCGTCCATATCAACATTCGGAAAAATAAAACGAGGTGCCTTCAAGTCTATTGGAATGTCTTCTTCATTGGTTACATCAATTAATGAATGAGTATTAAGTAAGTTATATAGCTGTTTTATACGAAAGAATTCATCTCGAGCTTTATTGACTTCTAATCCATCAACTTCATCTTTTTGTAACTGTTCCATCAGTACATAACCAATTTTTGCTTCCATTCGATTTGCCAACTCTATTTTCCAGTGATCTTTCTTCAATTCGATAAGTGTATGAAATTGTTCAATTGTCATTCGAAGTTCATTATACTTTTGATCAATTTTATCATGCATTATTTTTTTCCAACTTTCAAGTTGGTTGATACAATTCTCTCCACCGCTATTTATGTTCAATGATAGTATTTTGGTAGAAATTCCCTAAAATAATCAGATGTCAGTTAATTTTACTACATTGAAATATTTCTGATGATGCAATAAAGCAAACATTACAATTGGTTAAGTATGAGACTTCAGCAAATAGGGAACTATTTTATCAAAGTATTAGCAAGTAAATTAATTTGATCAAATTTTGTGTCTTAAGCTAAATGAACTGTATAATATCATAGGAAGTATTCAACTCTAGTATCTTAAGGGGACTCCACTTTCCTGAGCCAAAAAAATTTTTTTTTTCATGTAAAGGTGTATCAAGGTCCCCTCTATGTGTGCTATAAAAATCAGAACCATCCAAGGTCGGGAAGTCTGTGAAAAACCAGGTTTTTTGGAGATATGTGCAACAAAAAAAAATTTTTTTTTTAACATAAAGTTATATTATGATATGCTATACCTATATTTACGTATAAGCGGAAAAAAATTTTTTCTACAAGTTTTTTTTCTTTTGCATTTTTCTCGAAACCAGTTTTTTTGGGTATGAAAAACCAGTTTTGCCCCCTTTTCTCCGCCATTTCAAGTCCGATCAGACTGCAAATTTTTTTGGCGAGACTTCAAGTGATTTGGGTTGGACGCGTTTTTTTTTTTTTGGATACCTTCTACTAATCAAGTTTGGCAGGCTTCGCAAAATTTTTAGGATCCAAAAAATCTAGAAATTTTGCGAAGTGCCCAGTATTTTGGTTCTCCAGTCTGAAGTATTTGGAATTTTTGAAAAAAAAAAACGTCCGCCCCGATTGGGTCCGTCTACCCACAGTAAAAATTTCAGCTCAAACGGATGAAATCTGTGGACTTGAGGGGGGCAAAACTTTTTGCAAGTTTTTGACCTCGGGGTCTCTGGAAGTCCATGAAGATGACGTCTGGAAAATTTGTGTCCATGACAACTTTGGCTCTACTACTCGAGGTCTATCTTAGTGTCCTGCGGGAACGCCTTTTTTCCCTAATTTTCCCATTCCCATTCCCATTCCCATGGGAATGGGAATTCCCATTTAGACTTAGGGAATGGGAACATGGGAATGGGAATTCTCATTTAGACTTAGGGAATGGGAACATGGGAATGGGAACAGAATTAAAAATTGACGTTCCCAAAATTCTTTCTATCTTATTTCAATACACATAAAAATATTTCTATCTGCTAACTGTTTATTTTCAATAACTTTTCTTATTCATATACAATTAACAGAAAAATAACAAATGTGTATCAGCAAAAAATAGACTGCTTATTGGTTCTTAACCACATCGTAATTTAATCATCACAAATATTGGCATTGGTTAAGCAGGTGTTCCTTCGTGTATGCACTATACATGCAAGCTGGTGTTCCTTTTCATTAAAAAAGTGTTCCATCGTCTAAGAAGAAAATGTATAGTCAACATAGTGTTCATCATATAGGGAGAATATTCCTCTTGCGGTAAAGTGTTTCCCTCCCTTCTCCCAAATAGAAAATAAAAAAAATTATAAATAAATATTAAGGTTATTTACAACAAAAAACAAATGATTTATCAATAATAATCTCAATATTTATTTATAACTTTTTTAATTTTCTATTTGGGTGAGGGGAGGAGAACACTTTACTATAAGAGGAACATTCTATATGATGAACACTAGGTTGACTATACATTTTCTAATTAGACGGTGGAACACTTTTTTAATGAAAAGGGACACCAGCTTGAATGTATATGTATAGTGCATATACGAAGGAACACCTGCTTAACCAATGCCAACAAGAGCAACAAAACAGGAAAAGAAAAGAAGTGAAGCACTATGTAACAACGTCGCGATGCGCAAAACGTGATGTCTCGAGAAACTGGTATACATATATGCCAATGACACTTTCGCATAGATGAATAGAGCCTTGGAAAACCTTATGGGAATTATGGGAATGGGAACGTGGGAATGGGAACAAAAAAAAATTTTTAGGGAATGGGAAAAAGGGAATGGGAACAAAAGAAAACTTTTAGGGAATGGGAAAAAGGGAATGGGAACAAAAATTTTTTTTTAGGGAATGGGAATAGGGAATGGGAATCAGAAAAAGTCGTTCCCGCAGGACACTAGTCTATCTACCCTGAAAGTTTCAGGAATTTTCGTTAGGCCGTTTCTTAGAAACGCCGGAAAGGAGGGGGGTCCCCTTGAGATGGACAACAAACTCTCACTCATCATAGGTGTAGCCATTACTAACCTCCGCTTCATTTAGTAGATGATTTAGTTCATCTTTTACATTCTGTTGATGTCGTGAGCCGTGTTTGAGACAAAATGACGATGGACAATGAGAACATAGGTATCTGGCAGGATTTCGGCATCCACCATCATCCGACATTGGAAATCGATACGCACATCTTCTCATAATTGTCTCTTTGTTTTGATTATCTGTAGTTTGTTGCAACATCTCGATCGATGTGTCTTAAAGTAAAGTGAGTGTCAATTATGTGTAGTAATAATGTAACTGGGTAGCGCATTGAAATTCTACTATTGAAATAAAACTTTTCTGAAATATCTACCTGATGGCATGATAGTTATGGAAGATCTACTAATATTTATTTGATCATTAGATACGATGCTGTCGTATGAAGATGTTGATGGCTTAGAAATGGAAGGTGCCACAATATTTTGTTCAGTTGAATGGGCTTGTATCATTGTCCTTTGAGTACTTTCTAAAATTATGTAAAAAATATAAATCCATTTAAATTCATTGTGTTCATGAAACAGAAAACTCACCATATCCATGAAAAGTGTTCTGCGCTGTATGATATTCTGTAACAGATACTAAGTTTGTTGAATCGTCAGAGATGGTACTAGAGTCTTTCGTCGGTGGATATATGAACGATTGATGAAAAACTGAATTCGTTTCTGTTGACTGTTGCCGTTTTATATTTTCTTTAAGATGTCGAGCACATAGACTTTTTCGTTGAGCTTGTTTTTGACAATTTCCGACTGAACAGACTCGTCGCCATTTGTTATTGACGAATCTTTTCTTTACGTCAGCTTCAGCTAAGGACTTCACACGGCCTTTGTCTTGAATAACTTCATTTGACATTTTAATTGCAAATTTATTTAATCTAAAACAGAAAGTCAAAATACTACTTGATAATTGTATTTCAGATAATACTTTCAATATTAATGACAAATTTCCTTTGTGAAGAAGAACCAATCATGTCAATACTTTCAAAGCCTTAATCATGGCTTTAAGTGATGTGTTTTGTCCTGTAAATCTTAAAGATCAGTTTTGTTCTTTTATATGACAACATAAGAAGAGACATTACTATCAAAAAGGAAACGCTAAAAGTATTGTCAAACATTGATACTTTTAATTGTTGACAATGAAGTGTGGTGCTTTATCTTACGTTTAGAAATGAAAGTAAACTAAGATGAATTTAATCAAGTTCCATTCTTTGTTTATTGTCTGACTCATCATCTTACCCTGATAACGCTTTAGCATATGAAAGTATTGTACAAACATTTTCCGATCCAATGAGTATATGGAGAAAGTAGTAAATCAATGGTTAAAAATGAAGTATTATCAGTTTTCTTAATTTATCTTCTCAACAAAATTTAAATCCCATAAAACTTTTATATGTATTAATCAATAGTCACTGCTAAACATTTCTACTTAATCGAATTGTTACTTATTTAACCTTAAAATTCCCTTTCTGTTGAATCGAGGGTGTTTAGGTACTACAACTATGAGATGACTAAATTAGATCTAAATATTACACGGCTGTCAAAAAACTGATCCTAATAAATTTTCTTGCAGATTCCTTCTCCTTCATAGAGAATAATAAAATTGAGTGAAGGAGAAATCATTCTAATACTCTCCAAAAGCGTACAGAAAGGTTTAGGAACCAGAAACTATTTCTTAAGAATGAAAACAAAGTTTGAAAAATCTGACCAAGCAATCTTTTTAATACTTATTTGGTTATTAGACCAAGTTTTCATTAAAAATAGAATATTCGTGCTCAGCAAGAGAAGTACTATCATATTGGCTTTGCAACATACGAATTAGCGGGTGCCGAGGGATATTCTTATTGATTTACAGGAAAGGTCATATCAAGGTTAAAAATTTGAGAATTAGATTTATCAGAAAAAGTTCAAAAGTCAGGCTATGGATTAATAAATAGACAAGTGTTGTTAGATTTAAATTTTGTTAAAATATAAATAGAAAAACCGATAATCCTCCTTTTTCATCAGTCGTTTACTACTTTCTCCGTATACTCATTCAATTGAAAAATGTTTCTGAAAATACTTTCATGTATTAAAAGGTCATCAGAATATGATGCGAATCCGACAATGGTAAAGAATAGGACTTAATAATTCAGTTTAATTTGCTTTAGTTCCTAAACTAAGGATAAAAGTTTCTACTAACATATAAAGTTTCTTATCATTGGATAATCACGATTATCATTTGATGACGATTGGTAAATATCAGGTTGTTACAGGGTTTTGATAAATAATATATTTGAACTTGAGGCAGCTAGATAAAAAGATTACGGATGTTACTTTTAATGTTCGACAACACGTGTGAAAGAAATAACACTTTATTTGGTTTTTCTTCCTCGCTTTCGAGAGTCAACATTGACTCATTAAGATCATAGTAATAAGATAGCTTTTATTTAAAGAAGCAAAGTAATTTCTTTTTAATCTCAAAACTGAGTTTATTGAATCTAGCTTTTCATTTTCACTAGATGATCAATATAAGCATCTATGGCTTGAGTATAGAAGACGAATGTCTTTGTCCATCTAATCACTATGTAATATACCTCAGCTTTTTCTGTAGAAAAACACGATCAAATATTGAATCGGAGCAATTGAAAAGTTGGAAATTATTCTTTATCTAAATATGAATAATTCTATGATAGACCAAAACGGTCATATGATTGTTCGCATTTCTCAGTCAGTGCTACTCGTCGTTTAATTA